AAAATTCACTTCAGTGAATTTTGATTTCAGATCAGTTAGAAGTCAGATACGAGCCTTGCCTAGTCCAATTTCAAAACACCAGTTTTCTGAATGAGAGTGGTTCTATTATTAATCAAAAAGGGAATATAGACAATTACCTAAACAATATTATACTGTTCCGATCCGAAATTAACACAATGAGTTTCCAATTCTGGAAGAATGCGTCCTTCCCTTCAAGTATACGAAGTTACCGCAGAGGTATCAAATCCGATATTGCTGTAGCCCTTTTAAGTATCAAATTAAACAACAAATTTACAGTTAAGAAGGAAACATATAAACTCAAATAAAGGTACAAAAATGGGAATTATAACGAAATACAAATATTAACATCCCAAATCGGGACTAAACAGAGTACCTAAATATTGAACAGAAAGAGTCAGCAAGATCAAAACACAAATATAAACGTAGAGGGATTTTCCCAAAAACGAAGCCTTCAAAATGGATTCTACCAAAGTAGGAAGTTACTTAAACTTTATTACTCATATGAACCTCTGGAGGACAATATTTCGAGTGAGTTGGAGGTAGTATTATACTCACACTCATGTACTGTGTTCTGTAGTTCCAAATTATTAGGACAATGTAAGTATATAAATTCGTTTATTCCCAATGGATAATTGATGATGCTTCTGTGTCTTGTATTTGTCACATACGCTTGTCACATAAGCTTTCTTGTATACAGAAGTAGATTTAATGGAAATGATATTTTTAAAATTACAACTGCGTAGTGTAAATAAAGTTTTAATTCTTAGTATGAATGAACAACAATGTAGCCATTAGACATGTTCTGGTTTGGATATTCAAGTTATGACGGGAATCAGCTATTCATATTAGTGCATGTTAGTCGGTGGTTAAATATCATAGGGATTGTTGGAGGATTCTGAGTGTTGAAGTGTGAAACTCATATAACATTTAGTCTACTCCCTCTTGGGACCCTCTGGGATTACAACCGGTCCAAAGCCCGGATAAAGAAGAAAGGCTGGGCGACCTCTTCCCACAAGAAAACTAACCAGCTAAAAAGTGCTAACAATAAAGTGTAGTTCAAACCGTTTAAGCTCTCCTCTAGGAGTTAGGTCTTCTCACATGATGCAAGCCGAGAAACCATTTTTTTAGGTACATAATGTGTTCGAAGATTGTAGGAGACTGAAGGATCATTCCAAGTTGCTGCAGAGATGAAAAGATACAATCTGGAGGTGCTTGGAATCAGTGAAACACTTCAGCTTCATATCATCACTTGCTAATCTCCAAGATGAAACTGAAAGCCAAGCACTGGACAGTGAGGCAAACATAATCAAAAAAGTTTAATACGGCTTCCTTCGGGATACTAGAAAACGCAACGAACTCTAGAAAGCTTTCTGATGGGGACATTTGGTCCCCAGAACTCACTTGGAGAAGGTCCTAATTTTGGATTTTTTATATTTTCATACAGAAGTTGCTTACTTGACCTAGAGATTACATTCCCCACCCGGAAACTCCTTGACTGTCATTGACTGATGTATCATTTGAAATACGATGGAGAAAGTAATAACTTCAACATATCATGTGTTTCTAGGCCACGGGAAGCACGATCACAAGGAATGGATCACTAATGTTTTACTGGAATGGATTCAACGAAGGAGTAAAACGAAAGCAGTATTCAGTGGTAATCGGAGAAGATCGGAGAAACCAAGGCTCAAATTGAATGCACAGAAGCGAAAAAGCAGGTGAAGCGCAGTATTACAGCTGACAATCGTAAACATGTGAAAGATCTAGCAAGGTCGGCTGAAAAGTCCTCAAGAGAAGGAAACGTGACACAACTGAATTCTGTGACAATGAACCTCTCTGGAAACTACCGTGAACCTGAACGATAGGTGAAAAGCAAAGAAGGTAAAGCAATCACCAACATTGAAGAACAGCGAACCAGGTGGAGAGAGCACTTTAAGGAACCCAAAAATCGATCAGCCTCATTGAACCCACTCAACATCGAAGCAGTGTCCACAGACCTCCCAACCAATGTTGGCCCACCAACAATTAAAGAAATCACATTGCCATCAGACGGATTAACAGCGGCACCAAACTACACTCAAGCTGAGGCACTAAACACAGACGTAGCAGCAGCTGCAAAGATGCTCCAGATTCTCTTCTGTAAGATTTAGGTTGAAAAACAAGCGCCAACAGACTGGGTAGGATATCTGATCAGAAAACCAGGTAACAGCGATCTTTTGAAGTGTGATGGAACCACAGAGACATCACTCTTCACTCACTGCCAGGGAAAGTCTTCAACAAGCCGTTTGTAGAATCCATCTTGAAGGTTTTGTTTTGGGAGAATTCCTCCATGTATATATTGTTAATATGTTCTTACTGACTCTTTCTTTGCTACATTTTGGTACTCTGTTTAGTCCTATTTTGTGATGTTAATATTTGTATTTTGTCATGGTTTCTATTTTTTGTACCTTTATTGGAGTTTCTGTGTTTTCTACTGAACTATATTATGTTGTTTAATTGATACCTAATCATGGCGTCAGCCATATCGGCTTTGATACCCTGGGCGGTGAAACTTGAATCTGGACTGGAAGGGTGCAATTTTGGACCTATATGGAAGCATTCTTCCAGAATTGGAAACAAATTGTGTTAACTTGGAAACCGAACAGTGTAATATTGTTTGGGTAACTATATATACCATTTGATTATTAATAGAACCGTTTTCTACCCAGACAAATCGCTTTCTTTCTGGATTAACTTGGAAAGGAGCGTGTCTAAACATCTAGAACTGTTCTTCCGAATTCAGAAACCACTCAAAAACCCTCACAGTGTTGTTAAACAGAATGTAGGACTTCCTTTACTCTCGAATTCAGAATCAACAGGTTGGATTCCCTAACAATCTATTATGCACCGACCAAATTGCAACATTATGGATCACTATGAAACAATTAATTGAAAGGAATCGACCATTCTCAATGAACTTCACTTACTGCGAGAATGTATTTGACTGCTTGGACAGGACAACGCTATGAGGGCTTCTTTAACACTGCGATGTCCCTGAGAAGATAGTCCACATCATGCGGAATTCTTAAGGTGGGTTAAACTGCAAAATCGTTCACGAAAGACAGCTGACAGACTCGTTCGGGGTGAAGACCGATGTCAGGCAAGGTTGCTCACTCTCACCCTTTCTGTTTCCCTTGGTAATCGACTGGATTATGAAGACGTCAGCATCTGGAGGGAAGCACGGGATACAGTGGACAGTTCGGATGCAGCTAGAAGATCTGTACTGTGCATATGATCTGGCTCCTCTATCACACACGTAAGAACAAATAAAAGGGAAGACGACCTATGAAGCAGCAGCCTCTGCAGTAGCAGGTCTCAACATACATAAAGGGAAAAGGAAGATTCTCTGATACAACACAACATACGCCAACCAAATCACTCTAGATAGAGATACCTTGGATGACGTAAAAACCTTTACACACCTGGGCAGTATCATAGACAATCAATGCGCGGATCGAAAAAGCAAGGGCTACATTTCGATGAGGTGTTAAGCAACTCGAATTTGATTTTGGCTCCTCTGTCAGTTAATTTCGTGACAGGCATACAAGGAAATCGTTGTCCTGTTCTGAACGAAAGTTTTGGCCACTATGGCAGCTGTGACTTCGGTTACTGGTGTGGTTACTAGGAACCATGTTAATATGTTTGAGTACAGAAATTAATGATTAGAACCATATGAATGCAGTAGAAATCTTACGAAATCTGTATGAATGTGTGAAAAGGAGCGTTACATTCACTGAGGAATGGGCAACGAAAAACGGTTTGAAACTAAACCAGTCGAAAAGTGCATTCTACTACAAGTGACACAAATGACTTACACCCTCAGTGGAAATCCGTTCTCTATTATCTCCCAGAGTGGGACCTTGGTTTAATAACCACTCAAAACCTCGACACCAGTTTGAACTATATAAGGGATGAAGCAAAAATAATGTAACTCTTCACTTTATGCAAAGACGACTTGGCGCGCACACAGCTTGAGGTTCAAAAAGCCATCGCACTCCTCCTTAAGAGAGACACAAATCTCTTGGATCAAGTGCTGAGACGAGCAAAGAAATGGGTGATAGGGTTGAAGAATACAACTTACTAAGACAGACTTCGGCACTTGGGACTACTCTGTTTGGGTTGAAGGAGAATCAGTGGTCATCTGATTATCACGTAAAACATACTAAGCACGCCAAACCATCCTAACGTGAGCATCTTACCGATGCATCACCATCACTCCCCTCGAGGTGATCCTCCAAGTATTGCACATCATAGAGAGAATAGTCAGGTTCGTGCACACTTTTTCTTATTAAGAGTCGTTGCAACTTGGAATGATCTCCCAGCTGAGTCGACTAAAGCCGCCTAAGTCGATAGCTTGAAGAAGAGACTTGATAAACATGTACTCACATACGGATTATCATCTCCCTCGTGGAATAGCTGTGACCGATGCATGTATCGGTACCTGATGTTTGTTACTACTACCATCTCCCTAAATCACAAGCGCAATCCATCTGGCCTATTATTTCTGTTTCCTCTCGATTGTTTACACTTCAGTCCTCTGGCACTAATTAATAAACTAAGTTATCCATTATTAACTTTGTCCAGAAATTTTCTTCTTAGTAGCATAAGGATTTTCTCCTTATTATTTTCTACAGGTCTGGTAACCTGATAGCTGCTGGTATTCAGGAACCCTACTGCTGTGAGACAAACGTAAGCATTCAAACCACAAGACAAACTCACAAGCAACTGCTAACCGACAACACCTACAAACTCAGTAGAATTAGTGCGGTCCAGTGACTAGACTAGAATACATTGGACATTACCAAACACCTGGAACCGTACTGAAAGAACAAGAATGGAGCGAAAAGAAATCATTTGGTTTATAATAGCTCCCGTAAATGATACTGAGACTCGAAATTGGACATTTAGTTAAATGTCACCGTTTTGTGATCTGCGTTACATGTAAGCATAACTAGGTCCCACATGGCCTGTAAAATTAAGGTTACGATTTGAGAAATGTGATAAATAACGATACTATGCATTTTATCCGGTTATGCAACATAAAATAGATTCCATCGCTACAAATTTCTCATCAACTGCTTTATGTTGTACTGTTGATTTTACTACAACATATGTTGTAGCCGTTATCATTCAGCGATGCTGTATAGTTTTGCTTCTAATCCGTTTGTTTGTACGAAATCGTTGTTTACAACATTCATTTTCGTGTGCCATGCAGTATAAAGTCTACTAATTATGAAACCATTCACCAAGGCGTAAGGTGTGAAATGATATATACTCACGCATTCCTACCGTTTGTGTGGAAGTATCGTGTCTGTGGAATTAAGTTTCAGCTATTATTTTCTATGTCGAAAAGACGTAAATTCGGTCCTTTATTTTTGCGGGTCATGGCAAGTTGTTCCACAATCCTAGGACCTGGTCACATTTGGAGTTGTAACGTGCATGGTATACATATGATATTAACAGCTTAAATACGTCCATCTTTCCTCACCAAATTCTAAGATTTATATGTTCTGCTTTATTCATAATCTTTACACCTAGTATCGTAGTACTTATCTTGATTGAAAACAAAAATCAGGCTGTGAAGTCAAACATTGAATTAAACTGTCTGGGGAATCTGTTGGCTTCTTGGTTATCTTTAGAAGCATAACCGTTTTCACTAGTTGAAAATGTACCATTGTGCATATGTCTTAGGCAAACAGGTTGTCCGTTGCTTAGGTTTGAAACTAATATGAATACATACTTCTCATTTCTTCTGAACCATTACATATTTTTAGTTACCGTCTACTGTCACTATTATTTTTATTGCCCCCTACTTTTCTTGTCGCTTGTTTATCGCCACCGTACTGATGTAGTTTGGTAGCTTTAACTGATGAACATTTTTGCCAGTTCATACATATGTGCTTTTTCATTTGTCTGTTTATCTTCGTGATATGTATAACAACTTGAACAGTTTTTATCTATTTTTCCAAGTACTATCATTAATACAAGAGGAAACCTAAATATTTATGCGCTACACAAGTCAATGACTGTGAGTAGGTTGCGACACTGTTAGGATGCCTTAGCAAAGCAGTTACACAATTGTGTCCAGAAACAAAATAACCTCTCAGTACTGTTCGTTATTCTGAATTAAAGTTTAGAATTACATTGTTTTCATCATTTCGTTATTTGGAAATTGGTTTTACCATCTATGTTTTTCCGAAATTCACATTCATTACTGGTAGTTATTTACTGGACGGACTTATAATTCCAATTTAAACATTAAAATCGTGAAGTTCAGCGAAGGAATCACTTCTCAACGAATTTCTAATCAAGTTGTAAAGTCATACATATATGAAGTTTTATAAGTAATAATTCGCTGAGGATATATGAGTAAAAATGTTATAATACTAAATTATCTCGTTTAAATAATAACAATAAAAGATTGTGTGTGTGCAAATGAAAAGGCTTGTAAAACTGAACATTAGTTAGCAACGGATTTTAATGTAAATACAGTAAGACAATTGAAATGTTCTTTGGGATGTCAATTGACACTAATTGAGAGGTTTAAATGAAATAGGTTGATATCAGAAAACAATTATGGACAGAATTATAGGGATATGGAAATAATGAAAAAGAGGTGGGAAAAATATTTTCAAATAAAAAGTAGAATAATAGTACTTTAAAAGATCACGGTATCGATAAGATTTCCCACTAGAAAATGAAGAAGGTCAATCCATTTCATTTCTCGATGCGCTTCTGAGGAGTGATGAATCCGTAAAAAGTCCATTCACAAAGAAAGACAGACAGGTACAACGCAGAACTTCGTACGTAAGTACATCAGTTCAGGTTGCCATATCACATCAGCACAGAGACGCAACTGTCAGTTCAAATCCAAGAGTGATAGTGATAGTAGAAGTATTAGCAGTAATGGAGAAGATTAGGGAGAGAAGATATGATTCGAGAAGTATAATTCAGTAAGATAAATGTAGAAGGAGAAAGGTAGAGATGACGACATTCACAAAACATAAACATAGAACGGCTAACTGACTAACTTTTATAGTCGAGCTACACTAAACAGAAAAAGGAGTCTCATTAACTCTATGTCGCCGGATACGCAAGATTTATAATATGAAATGCGATAATGAAGAACTTGCGTTCCTCATAAAAACGTTAGACGCTTCATAGAGAAAAATATGAAAGTCAGAACAAGGAATCTGGGAATTTCTTTTCAGAGAAATATCTCCATATGAATCAGAAATTTAAAGGTGAGCAAAATATTGCTGTACTCAAATAACCGACAAATAACAGCAATAAAAGAATGTTCTATCCGGCATAGCTGCGATTAACATTGACCAGTAGGAACTTGTTTTCTGTATCCGTAAAAAATAAGTTTCCTCACCTGATCGCCTCTCTGTGCATCTATTAGTTCATATGCTCCTGTGGAGCAAGGTGCACAGGGCTTAGCCAGTGATTTCTTTCAACCTGGATAAAAAAACATCTGGTGTAGTTCTGCAAGGGTGAGAGGAAGACAGAAGTTTCATTCTTGAACAGTTAGTCGATTCCAACTACTCCACCAGTCCACAGGTTTATTTTAATGTTGTTCATACAATTCATCCAAATGTACCTAGATTTCTCCTTATCCAATTCCATAAAATAGCAAAAGCTCTTGCCAACTACAAAATGAAACCATAACTATATGTACAAGAGAAGTACATCTTGTCCTTATCTTTGCTGTGATCTTTTAAAGTACTATTATTCTATTTTTTATTTGAAAATATTTTTCCCACCTCTTTTTCATTATTTCCATATCCCTATAATTCTGTCCATAATTGTTTTCTGTTATCAACCTATTTCATTTAAACCTCTCAATTAGTGTCAATTGATATCCCAAAGAACATTTCAATTGTCTTACTGTATTTACATTAAAATCCGTTGCTAACTAATGTTCAGTTTTACAAGCCTTTTCATTTGCACACACACAATCTTTTATTGTTATTATTTAAACGAGATAATTTAGTATTATAACATTTTTACTCATATATCCTCAGCGAATTAATACTTATAAAACTTCATATATGTATGACTTTACAACTTGATTAGAAATTCGTTGAGAAGTGATCCCTTCGCTGAACTTCGTGTTTTTAAAGTTTTTTATTTGTCACTAATATATTGCTACCTCTTTCTTGTTTCAGCTTCCTTAATGTTCAAACTCATATTATCTTAAAGTGGTGTTATTCAAGATCTATCATTTGATGAGTCGAGAATATTTCCGCTAACGTTCAACAATCATATTTGATTAAATTATTCGATTTTAGAGAAGTAGAAGTAGAGATTTTGTTTAGAATTTGTTGATTTGAATAAGTCTTTGTTGCAAATTACTTTCTTTGTATGAACTGGGCAGTTGAGATTATTCTTATATAAAACTATTATCCTGTTGTGAAAAATTGCTTTTGACAAAAAATTTGCGTTTGCTTTCAAAATACTCTAGTTACCGCCAACTACATGAACTTAATTCTAAATACTGCTTATATCAATTGTCAGCGGAATTTAGCTTGATCATGTTTCTGTCACATTTAAAACTTGTTTTAAAGAGAACACCTAAAACCATTCATTCATGTGTTAAGAAATATGCTCACAAAATAAACACAAAGGAACAACGGTGTCATAAAACGTTATTCTCTGTAACCTTGGTACCAGAGCCTCACCAGCAACTTCCACATTCAGAACCTCAAAGACTTTTGGAAGATAGAAAACAAGATGATTGTTTTCCTCAAAGCTCCAGAAGTGAAGTTCCTTCTCTTTTTACAAGGCCTCTTGCTCCAGAGGATTTGAACAAAATTTATTCTGACGAAGATTCATCATTACCACCCTTGTTTGTTACTTGCTCAGGATGTGGATCACCGTTACATAGTAAAGCTGCAGGTTACCCAGGTTTTATACCTGCGACTGAATATAAAAACATCATATCAGATACCGGGAGATCATCTCGTTCTAAATCCAGAAAACCTATCTTCAATCTTTGTGTACGTTGTAATCTACTCCAAAAGCATATTGAAGCCTCGAAAGTATGTAATTTTTTACACATTGATCCTAAATAAAATTTAGGAAACAGTAAATGAGTCGTGCTTTTTTACTAAAGTAATCCAGGAAATCCAAAAATATGACGATGCGGTTGTAATCATAATTGCCGACGTGGTTAATCTTCCACATTCTTTAATTCCGGAATTACATACAGAATTAAAAGGTAAAAGGTTAGTTCTAGTTCATTATTGTTTTCACCTTTAGATATATACTTGTTGGCAACAAGGCTGACCAGTTACCAGGTGACGGACCGAATTTTCTAGAGAGGTGGCGTTCAGTGTTGTTGGAAGCAGCGATTTCGAGGAGCAAAATACCGGAAGAGAGTATTAACAATATTTTCCTCGTTAGTGCATTGACTGGTTATGGTATACCAGAAATGATCGATTTTCTGTTATCTAAACGTTTTCATTCTAAAAGTGAGCAGTGTTTACTTTACTATCAATTTTAGTGATTTTTTTACTTGTCTGCCCACTGCATTCAAAATAAACATTATATCGATCTCCACTGAAAAATTGAATGATGAATAATGCCTAAATGCACCAGTCCTGTATTTTGAATATAGTTTTTGTCATAACCTTCACCCCTTAGTTAGACGATGGACACAATACTTCAGTCGACTAGTCTCGGTTTGCTCATTTAAACACAAACATTCATAAAAAGGAGCGCCGAAAAATATATACGGCACACAAAACTGAGGTATAGAGATATGGAAATAAAAGTATGATAAAAAAAAGAACAGAAGTAAGTGTAAAATAAGTGAAACAACAAATGTAGGAAGGGAAGCTGTCTAGTAAAAGAAAATTATATAAGAAAGGATTGCTTCAGTTACATAAGTCCCACTCACTTTTATGCGGAAATTAAAAGGAAGATACAGCAGGACCGCTACTGGCTTCTCTCCTGAGCTATATCTGATAACATCTCAAGCCACCGAGCTGTCCCACTTCTAAGACCTCAGTCAGCTAACCATGAGGCACCAGTAGAAGCCAGTCCTGTGAAGCATTCTTTAATACAGCGTCACCATGTCATGCAATGTCCTCCACTTTTTCCAACCAGTCCCAGAGTTGGCAAATAATGCACGATGTGGAATTCTCTAGGACGATATTCATGGTACATTTCCAAGCCACCGAAGTTGGTGTTTAAAGATCATGACCAACTGGATTGTGGTCTCTGTGCCCGGACATACGTTGCCGGGCCTCTGTATTACTAACATGCTGTTGCCTTTGAGTGTTAGATTTCCTTTGAAGACAACGATGACTGAACAAAGAGAGTCACTCAAAATCCTTAACTCGGAGAGCTTAGTTTTCAGAAACAGAGTGAAACTACTCTCACTGACTCCTTGTAGACCCAACCTTTCAGCCAAAATAACATCACGAAGCTACCGATGATAGCCTAAGTTGTCAAGTCTCTTTGGCTTTCACTATACATGACTTGATCTCATTACTAACACAATAAGCACTTATGTGGCCCCTTAGGTATACGGACTTTTCAACTACTTCAATAAAGGTGACGACTGTGAATGGAACTTCTACTTGTGAATGTCTGGAAGTAAATTTAGAGGTATTTTCATTAGATGAGCGGGGTTCTATAAAGATCAACAAGGCCTATACGACCAAGAAACTTCCGATCGATTACGCAGAACCTTTAACCGAACTCCAGCTGAGAAGGTGGAAACATTTAAAGGACATAACTCTACCGAGGCTGCAAAGTAATCTAGTAGGAATATTGATTGGGTGTGATACTCCAGATGCACATTGGGTCCTTGAACAACGCCTGGGAGACAGGAAGCATCCGTTTGATGTGCGTACTCATCTTGGTTGGATGATTTCAGGTCCTAAAGAAGCATCGAGGTCTATACATCAAGTTCAGTGGTGTCATTGTTCTACTAATGATATTTTGCGAGATATAGAAAGATTATATAATCATGAGTTCGAGTATGCAGATGGGTTTCGTAATGAATATTCTGTCGAAGATAAAAGAGCTCTAGAAATAGTTAATAGTTCCTTTAGACTGGAAGGTGGCCATTTCCAAGTTGGTCTACCCTGGAAGTATGATAAGCCAAGGCTACCGAATAATTTGGAACTAGCTGAACGTAGACTAGAGTGTTTAAGGAAGAGGTTTATGAAGGATAATAGTCTTCTGGAAAAATATTAACTTGTAATGAGTAAACATTTAAGTAAAGGCTACATCATTGAAGCTAATAAGGAGGAATTCGACCGTGATGCTGTTTGTTGGTATATTCCTCATCATCCTGTTATCAACCCTAAAAAGCCTGGAAAATTAAGAATTGTTTTTGATTGTGCAGCTGTCTATCAAGGTTGTTCTCTTAACGATCAGCTTTTGAGAGGACCAAATACTGTAAATAGTTTAATAGGTATACTTCTACGATTCAGATTATGCAACGTAGCATTAGCCGCTGACATCGGGGAGATATTCCTTCAAGTAAAGATCCCGAGACGAGATAGGGGAGCGTTTCGACTATTATGGTGGGAAGATGGTGATATAGGACGAAAGGCTAAAGAATATTGTTTGACAGTTCATCCGTTTGGAGCCGTGTCCTCTCCTTTTTGCGCTAATTTCGCTCTTCGGAAGACGGTAGATATATTCGGAAAGGAATTGAATAAAGATGTCCAGGAAGTTGTAGATAAGAGTTTCTATGTCGACGACTATTTAACTGCAATTGATAATGTGCAGGATGCAATCGAGCTTGCAAAAACCCTTGGTTTACTACTCAGAAAAGGTGGGTTCAGACTTACCAAGTGGATAAGTAACTGTTTACAGGTTCTCGAATCAATTCATCCAGAAGAGAGAGCAGAAGCCGTAAAAGAGATTGACTTTGAGAGACTTCCTACGGAACGCACATTGGGATTATTTTGGAATACTATGGTTGATGCGTTTGAATTTAAAGTTTGCATACCGAAATGCCCTCTCACTAGGCGAGGTATATTGTCGAGTGTAGCTTCATTATACGACCCCTTGTTATTGTTAGCACCATACATACTTCCTATGAAGCAGTTACTTCAACGTTTGAGTAAATTGGGACTAGGATGGGACGAAGAGATTCCAAGTGAGGAAGGCAAACGCTGGTTAGAGATTTTAAGTGGATTTCAGAGGGTTGAGAACGTTAGTTTTCCACGCTGTATTATTCCCACAATCAGATCGCTCGCTCCTGGAACTTCATATTTTCTGTGACGCCTCGGAAATTGGATATGGGGCAGTGGCATACATCCGTTCTTACATCGATGACACTGAAATATGTTCTCGTCTTATTACGGCTAAGGCAAGAGTAACCCTCTTAAAGATTCAAACTATACCCCGCTTGGAACTTACGGCAGCAGTGTTAGCAGCGCGTATGGGGTCCCAGCTGCAGTCCGAGTTAGATATCAAGTTTGCAGAAGTTGTGTTTTGGACGGATTCCATGATTGTCTTACACTATATTCAGTCAGTCAGTCAGTTGCAACGTGGAACTTCGTACGTATGTACATAAGTTCATGTTGCCATACCACATTATTAGCACAGAGACGCAAATGTCAAATCAAATCCCATAGTGATAAAGATGGTAGAGGTATTAATGTTATAATAAAGAAGACTAGGGTTTAAGATATTATTCAAAAAATATAATTCAGTGAGATAAGGTTAGAAAGACAAAGGTAGAGGTGCAGACGAATCCAGAAGATTAGGATTTGAGAGAGCTCAAAGAGTGGATGCACCTGCGCCATTGCAAACGATTTTGAGCCATGTCATTCAAGGTCTCTAACCATTGATGACTTTCGTCTCGCGGACCCCAACCAGGTAGTCTACATCTACCAACATGACTCAGTCCACTTGTCAGTGACTTCATAGATTTCTGCCATGTTTTGGTCTGGCCGCCCCTAGCTTTCTTCCAACGTACTCCTACACCACAAAACATAGCTCGTCGAGGCAGTCGGTGGTTAGGCATACGTAACACATGTCCCAACCACCTCAACTGATGAAGTTTCACCACTTCATTTATTGATCTGCCATCCTTACCTAGTACTCGTTTCCTAACGACAGCATTGCTTACTCGGCCGTCCCACGGTATACGAGCAATCCTTCTTAAACATCTATGATCGAATACTAGTAACCTACGAACATCTTCTACTCTTAACGGCCATGTTTCACAGCCATATAAGAGAACGGAACGAACTGCTGCGCAGTACACCCGCCCTTTGGTTAGCGAACGGATATCGCGCCTACGCCATAAGTGACGCAGATTGGCAAAAGCCAATCGAGCTTTCTGAATCCGAGCTGAGATTTCGTCAGTCAAAAGACCGTCAGCACTGATGAGACTCCCCAGATAAGTGAAGTGATCTACACGCTCGACTACTTCACTCCCTATCACTAGTTCAGGTGCCGAAGCAACCCAGTCTTGAAGCAACATTTTGCATTTCGAGGGGGAAAACCGCATCCCGAACATGCTCGCATTGTTGCTTATGGTAGTCAGAAGACTCTGCATTTTGTCAGCGTCTTCACCGAATAGAACTATGTCATCGGCATATTCTAGATCAGTAAGCGACTTTCCTGGTAGAAGGTCAACCCCTGAAAAATCTGACGAGCTTAATGTTAACTCTAAGAGGATGTCTACGACAAAGTTGAACAAGAATGGAGAGAGTGGACAGCCCTGACGGACACCACTTGATGTAGAGAATTCAGATGACAGTTCGCCATATGCTCTCACCCGACCAGTGGTGTTCGAGTAGAGTGCTTGTATAAGGTTAATGTACTTCTTTGGTACACCTTTCAATGACAGACACTGCCACAGAACCTCACGATCCACTGAGTCGAATGCCGCCTTAAGGTCCAGGAACACGACTATTGTCGGACGTCTAAATGTGTGTCTGTGTTCCAGGACCTGTCGTAGTGTGAAGATGTGGTCTATACAACCACGACCAGGTCGAAAACCAGATTGGTTTTCTCGAGTCTGCTCTTCACGAGCTCTAGTTAGACGTCTAAGTATAATCGAGGCTAACAATTTAGAAACTATATTAGTTAAACTTATTCCCCTGTGATTGTCACAAGAGGACTTCTGTCCTTTCTTGTAGATTGGGACAATTAGCGACTGAGACCAGTCAGATGGGATTACGTCCATTTCCCAGATTCTACCTAGGATCTCGGTTAGTTTAACCGTTAAAACTGGACCACCATCCTTAAACATCTCAGGGGTAAGCCTATCGGGACCTGCCGCTCTACCTCTCCTTAGATTTCCTAACGCTTTTTCAACTTCATTAAGACTAGGGGGACTTACGTCGATTTGCCATTCAGGATGACTGGAGATCGTGGGCAACCGAAGAGTGGCTCGTGGCCAGTTGAACTGATCCCTAAAGTGTTCTGCCCATCGGTCCAGCCTCCTAGATTGAGAATGGATAATAAGACCATCCTTTTCCGAGATAGTCTCACT